TTAAAATACATCACAATTGCAATACTTTAAAACATTCTAAAATTAATAATTGAATTTCAGTATTTTGAATCCGAGTCGAGAAAGTTAGAAGGTTTTGTCTATTTGTGTTGTTTTGTTTGTTGTAGGTATATACAAATATTTTTTTGCGAAAATTTCGTCAAAACACCGAATGCGAAATTTCCACAGGACACTTAGAAAAGAATCCGAATACTTTTCTAAGTAAGTAAAAAAAATATTTGTCTACCTGATAAAAGAGTGAAAAAAAGGTTGATTCATGCGTCAGTATGACCAAATTCATTTTTTTACGCGTGTAAATTTCAGCTCCCTGTTTTACGCAGAAATTGTTTAMATCATCATCGAACTTGAGCTTTCTGACTGAAAATGTACAAATTTCCTCAACTAAAAAAAAGTGGCCAATTTTTGCTGTTAACAATTCTCCTGCAACTTTGATGGAACGATGTTCCAGTTTCTATTAAAGCCAGCAACCAAACTTTTCCTGAAACTTGCTGGAAAGCTCACGTGAAAACACGTCACAGTTCCAGTTGCGTGGGGTTGGATCAATGGAAGTTATCCATCGCAATTGGCGTCCGCTTCTGCTCCCCGAATACTGAAAAGCTCTATCATGGAAACTCGCCAAAGAAACGCTCCTGAAGGGCAACGGGAACGGCTTCTAACCGCCTCCAGTGCTCTCCTTGGGCATTCTGGAAGCGACTTTCCAACAATCCTCGCTGGGTTCAGCGCGCTGAAACTTGCCCAGACTTGGAGTGAGTTGCGGTTCCTCCATGCCAGCTGGATTTATTTGGGAGCAGCAGCAGCAAGTTCTAGTAGCTGAAGCTGAAGCTACTCCCTGGAAACTTCAAAGCCCTGGAGTTTCCCGGAGTTCCAGTTTCAGGAGAATTTCAGCAGGAGCACAGAACAATGGGCGAGTATCTGGTTTCATTGTTTAGCCCGGTATGGGAAAATCGATTAAAAAGTCCGTCACGCAAACTATTTAACTATTGCAAGAGGGAGGCTTGGCTGATACAAGCATGTAAGGGACAAAGTTTGCTTAAAACTAATAGGATTTCGTTACGAAGTCAGTTTTTGACCAATTTTTTAGAAGTTGCCAAAAAAAATCCATTAATTGTGCGCCCGCTGTGGCAGCGTTTCCAAGAGGAAGAATTTCCATTGATCTGTCTCCACTCCTGTTATCCCGATACGCCAAATCCTTAACATGAAAAGTCTCCTAGGGAAAGGACATTTCCCCAAGTGTTGAGCCCTTCATTTAGGGCAAGTTTCAATTGGGTTTCAAGAAGTTTCACTGAAAGCCTTTTTCCATGTGAAGCTGCCGCGTAAGGATTCGATTCGATCGGATCAATAGAGCCAACGCAAGTACGTTCGTCCATTAAAGATGGAGCTACCATGGAGAATATCCACAGTTGCCAAAGAGCGCAAAAAAATTACGCGTTTGAAAAGGACAGGATGAGAGCAATTTTTTTCTAGCCAACTAGTGGCGGCTTCTCCATTAGGTCGTTTACATATTTGCAAACAACATAATGGAAACTTGTGAGTCCTCGTGCGTTTTTGAGTTCTTTGAGTTTCGTTGTCGCGGAAAAAACCGACGATGGCAGCTTAATTTTTTCCCGTTGGTCTTAAGTCCATTAATAACACAACGAATAACATGAATTAATATATTACAAAACATATGCACAGTCATGAAAATATATTACGCTTCAGTGGTCTTTCAACACAAAGCTAGACAATGATTTATTGACTTCCTTATCGACTGGAGCAATACCACATAATTGGCTCTATCAAAAGAGATAGACTTTCGAGGCCATTTCTTGAAATTAATGGGTTTTTCGGGTTTTTAGGCCGCCGAACGCAGCGTAAGCGTTCAAGCAAACCACTTCTGAAGATGCGAGCCACTCATGCTTGCGAAACGTCAGGAAGAAATTCTACCGAACGACCGCCTAAAAACCCATTAGTTTCATAATTGGCTCTATTTCTGTTTCTTAACAGCTTTTCTGAAGCACTTTTCTGCCCGTTTAGAGTTCGACGGTGTATTTTTACGTCGATAATCTGAAGTTCCAGCGCACTTTGAACGTTATACATTCATCAGTGAAATGAAAAATAACTTAATTAGGCACCGCATCTGCAGCATTTAGGTAACAGTAACACAGAGAAAGTAGATCCTATTAGATAATAATTATATTTGGAAATTCCAGCAATGTTTTTTGCAATGTTTAGCAGGTTTCTGTCCTAATTCTCTACATCTCAGTCTCCATTTTGGTCATTTTCTCATGCCGTATTCCCGGCTTCTGCTTAAATTCCCCCACTTTTCAGCTCGTTGATGTAGGCGCCCAACTCATCTTCAATCGCTCCCTTTTCGATGTCCTTCAAGCTACTGTTGCTGATATCGCAAGAGTCGCGTTCGCTTCCATTCAGATGGAACTCCATGCTGGGATGACCGTCGCGATTCCCATACGCCAGTTTGCCATTTTCCTGATTTTTCCGCAGGCAGACAAAGTACTGGGAGATTTTGGTCAGTTTCGACTCGTTTTGGGCGTTGTTGACCACTGGCAAAGAGGCATAGGTGGAGAATGAATTCGATTTTTCGGAAATGGTGTGCGTTTCGTTCGATTTGGTGAGGCGATGCAATGAAAATTTGAATCTGCAAATGAACAAACTAAATGTTATATAATTTTTTGTTCCCTGGATGGTATAAGAATCGGTTTATTCATCCTTACTATTTATCACGCATCTATACATATGTCGTAACTGCTTATTAATCGCTTTTATTTACGGGGTGATGAAAAATCACCAGTTTTGGTTTTGATGGGAGAACATTTTGGCTCTGAAGCTAATTTTCAAAATACAGACCTCATGTTGAAGCTAAAACTTTCGAGTCGACTTGAGACAAAAATTCAATATACAGGGTTGCGCTGAAAGCGCGACCCAAATCAGGACTGCCCCCGAAGTCACAAGTGAACCTTACTGTTAAACAATCCGTTTATGGATGCAACTCTGTATATAAAATTTTTGACTGAAATTCACTTCACTTCAATTTCCATCTTGTAGGAACTTTATCTGTGCTAAGAAATTTTTGCAAAGTCAATTACCGACTGAAAAAGAATTGCACTAAAAAGGGCTTCAAACAGAAATCGAATCGCTCACAGCAATAAAAAGTTATCCAGCACCAAACTTTGGTTTATTTACTGACTGCAGCGTTCGAAGCGTTTGCACGAGGAATTTGGAGCGGATTCTATGCTGCATTCTTTAGGGGCCTTAGAAATATTAATTTCTCAAATATAACTTTCGAAGCTGATCACTTGTAATTTGAGCAGCCAGAGCGGAGCTGAAGGCATTTTCTTTAAAAGCTAAAAGTAATGATTCTTGTTGCAAGACCGGATGTAACAAATACGATGAGAACAACGTTATTTCGAACTTTTCCAGCCAAACTTCATAAAAGTAAATTTTGCGGTCACTGTTGGAAACTGGGGTGTTTTTCGTGGTTTTTTGTGACGTTTCGCAAACACGAGTAGCTCACATCTTCAGAGCACCACTCCAAAGATGCAAGCCAGGAAAACTGAGCACTTTCAAGCAATAAATATCACTGAAAGCTTCACTTTTTCGATAGTACCTATGGTGAAACTCACCAGAGTAGGAAAAACTGCCAAGTCGAACGCATGAAAACTGACTATTTCAAAGGCCAGAGTTCGGCTAAAACTCGGTATCAAAATTCAGTTGTATATTAACTATTTAACTGGCATTTATCAATTCTAAATAATTGAGAAGTCGGGATGCGAAGGCGTGTTAAGTGTCGAATAGAGTGAAGCAAAGTTTTTTCGAAACTTTTTAAAGACTTGTTAGAACTTTTTCCGATACCGTTGAAATGTTACTAATGAAACTGTGCTTTGATATAAATGATCCAATGAGTTCTTATAACATAAAATAAGGTTGCTTGGCGCCTAACTATCTGCAGAATTTGAAGTTTCATACTTAAAATAACAGACACAATTCCACTCAAGTACGAAAATATAATGATGCCCAAACAAACTCGATATTGCTGACCAAAGTCCCACTCAAACAAGATGTTTTTGAGGAAATCAATGCAGTTCATTAAAGACTAAACAACCATCACTAAACTAAGTATATTGATCGAAACGGGAGGGACAAAGAACAAGAATGATTATTCAATAAATTCCAATCACTTACTTTGTCGAACTTGGAAATGAATCGTTAGAGTTCTTATAAATCAATGTGGTGTGGGTCTGGAACATTTCGTCTTTGGCCGAATCCGTGGATTCCGGTGGATTTTTTACGTTGGACCTCGAGAGAATTGAGTATTGTTTCGGCGGTTTACCGCGTTGTATTCCGAGGCCACAACATTTGAAGAAAGTTTCCTGAAATTTACGAAAATACACTGTTGTTAGTTGTAGTAGCTATTCTCAAGCCACGAAAATATATAATTATTTTTATAAAACAAAATGAAAATAGAACGCAAATTCTCTCTTGCACAAAACGACAATAATTCGGTTTTATGCGCTCGACCCGTTTTAAATTCTATGGAATAATTCTTTTTTGACTTAAAGAATGAGCAAAATCTTGAACTGTTTACTGGAGTCACGTCCAACTCCAGTTCTTTTCCAAATAAATTGTAAGCGACCTGGGAAAAAGGGGCAACCACGGCGAGAGCGGCAACACTGGTCAGCGGGATACACCCAGGACGGGAGTGGCAACATCGCTACCACCTTGATATAAGGCCCAGTGCTAAAATCTAAAAGACCCGTGACGTCATGCAATGTGATCATATATTTCTCCCGTAAGAAATGCATTGAGCTGTAGACCAAATCAAGTTATGATTATTGAGGAGCGACGTTTCGTTATTAACTTATCTGGTCTTCTGCACATGCTGATATTCTGCTGATATCCCACATCGCAGCTACTTCGCCGTGTTACCGGACAGTACGAATTTTTTAAGGCTTTTATTCAAAAGTTAGAAGAAGAAGGAAGATACATTACATTTAGATAAGCGTTTTATAATTGGTTACCGACAGTTTTCATAAAAATATACATATAACAGGGGCTATCCTGATTGGGGTAAACATTAATTAGTGATTAAAGAAAAATATTAGTCTTTAAAAATCGACAAAAATCATGCGATCATGCAATCGACAAAATCTTACGGCAACACCGGTAGCGATTCAGATACAACCGAAGCTGTTTGTATTTTTTCGGATCTGAAGAAGTTTACCTCTTTTTTGCGTTTTTCTAGTGAATTTCAAAGTTTTTCTAGTGAAACAAATTATGCCTCACAGGGTTTGTGTTCCGGGGTGTCGCGGAAATTACCCAAACGGCCCCAAAGTGCTCGTTTTTGGCTTTCCGAAAGCAGATAACCTCAAACAACAATAGTTGAAAGAGTTTCCGCGCAAAAATTTTGATCCCGCGAATAGTTCTAAAGTGTGTGAACTTCATTTCTCAACCCCTTCCGACCTCATTTGGGTCACCTCAGCCCAAGATTCCCGAACTGTAAGTGAAACAATTTCAATTAATCTAAAAAAGCCTCATTTAAAGCCCGATGCAATACCGTCAATTTTTCCAAATTGCCCTCGATACTTATCTAAAGATATCAAAACTCGTAAGAGTAAAGATTAAAAATTGAAAGAACTCGAAGAATTACGTTTTTCACAAACTATCGATGAAAGCAAAAAAACTTATTCTGATTATAAAAAAGCAATGAATTTTCAAAATTTTGAAGAATTTTTTTGAAAATGGCTGGTTTTCTCTAAATCATGGAGATAACATAATTTTATTTAAGCTTGACTATACACCAGGTCCTTGTATAACGTGGGCTGTCGTCATTAATCGTTCTTTAAAATTGGAAATTTTCTTGTATGGCCAACCTCTTAGCATTTACATTTCTGAATTGCAAACTCCATTTATTATCAACAGCTTGAATGATCTAAAAGATTTACTAGACACAATTGACAGTACATGCATGGCAAACGCTTTAAAGAACTAAAAAGTGGGTAAAAACTCCACCAATTTTGACAACTCTTGAGAATGAAAGTAAGGATCACTCCATCAGTTCAAATCAATTTAAAAATATTTGTAAAATGGTATCAGATATTCCTCAAAATTTGAAGTGTTTTGCTGAAGAAAAATTTGGGCATACTTTAAATTTCATTTCAGAGCAATTAGCTTTGATTTACACTGCCAAAGAGAGATATCGATATTCACCTGATACTCTCACTCTATGCTCAATCTTATTTTCAATAAGCCCTCATGCATACAAATATTTGAGAGATTATGGGCGACTTATCTTACCTCATCCAGAAACATTAAAAAGAGTTTGCAATAAATTCTTAACAGACTCTCATATTGATGAACGTAAGACTTTTCTTACATATGCCGGAAATATTTTTCCCTTTTTAAAAGACGAAGATAAAAATGTAATTCTTCTTTTTGACGAAATTCATATCCAGCCTTACTTAGACTATAAAGCTGGCAATACTACTATTTTGTTGTCGAAAAATTAGTGCTTGACAAAGAATCAACAAAGAACATCTGTGGGGTTGCCAGGGGAGATGGCTTATTATTGATTTGATGTGACGGTCAAAGGCGTTCATTAAAATTATTGAGTTTTGCATCGATCGTATTCTTCCTTAAATTTAACCCTAACAAAATTAATATACTTTCATGTATGAGTAAACTTGGAAAATTTAAAAGTTTTCCTGACCGCCTTTATTTTTCCGGAACTACTGGTTCCTTGTAGTTTCCTACCTTCCTGGTAGGTTTGCGCAAAATTATGGCAAAGAAAAATGCCCAAATTGATGAAAAGCACGCAACTGGCTCAAGTAAGTCCTAAAATTAAAATCGCACAAACACTTCAATGTCGTTTTAGCACTTGGTGCGCTTTAACTCAATTAAGTTTCATAGATTTTCCGATTTTCTACACGCTTTGCAGAAAATTGGATGACCGCTCACAGTTAAGTCCTAGTCAAATGATGGCGCTATTTTGCCGGCAAGAAACTTCAAGCTGCATTTTGTGGGGTTCTGCTTTAATGACTTTACCACCGACGCCAATTTGAGCACGAAAAGAAGCCAACTTGCACAAATAAGATTTTTTTTTACCGCAATTTACTTATAATATTTATCGGACTTTGTGTTTGGTCCCCGCAAAAAAAGGGCCTTTGCTGGCCAAATGAGCTCCTCATTAAGTGACATTATCTCGAAGCCTTTCTCAGACACACAAGGATGATTTTCCAATTTCAAACTGATATTCAACATCTTAATGCTCGCAACTTTATTAAATTCAAACGGGAATTTTTATTAGAAGTCCTTGAAGAGGTCGCATTGCGTTGCCTTTGGTATTCAAGGACTTAATTTGCTTAAAGCTTCTGACCCTGGCCATTGTTGACACGATTTTTTGCAAATAAAGGGTAAAACCAAGCGAACATGGAACACATTTAACTGTTTAATTAAGTGTCGTCAGGCCCACAGTTTAGACCCTCGAAAGCAATTGAGACTATTTTATTGGCCGCTAATTTAATCCCAAGTAAAGAAAATTAGTTTCAAATTAGATTAATTTACAATGGGAACCTTAGGAAATGGAAGCAAAAAATATGTGACATTCTAAGAACAAGCGCCTTTTGAAAAGTGGTTAACAAAACCTAGTTACGTTTTATTGCATCGTCTTAATTTCCATTTTTTTGGCGTTTTAACGCAATTATTTCGCATTTAACGCAATTATGCAACCGAATGGCTTGCCAAATGTGAAGGTAGAAACAACCATACATACGAACTGATGATGGTGGAGAAAAACACGTTTTTGTAACATTTTAAATGGTAAACAATAAAATTGACTGGAACCCAGGGATTTCTTTTGAATTTATTATTATTATCACTTTTTCTCTAGAGTACCCAATAAGCCGGCTACAGACCGTTTTGAATTCTTGTCGACTTTTGCAAAAAAATTTTTAAAATTGCCCATTTTTTGACGGAGCGGAATTTTGGTATAATTTCACTTGACAGAGTATGCAATATCCGAAAATAAGTGAAAACATTTCGAAAATCCGCCAACATCACGCTTTATTAACATCCCGATATGAACAGTTAGGTGTGCAGAAAATTTCTACAGACAAAAAAATATTAAGAGTATTTTTCACTAAAAAATCAACTATTTGCTGACATAAACCCAAGTTTACACTTTCCGGTTCTTCGCGCCGGATCTAATATCGACTGTAAAAGTACATAAAATTGCCTGGAACTGAAAGGAGAGAATCGACGGAGTATAAGTAGGCGGTAATTCAATTAAAAACTCGAAGAACTGGGCTTTTTCTTGCCCTCTCAGTCGATTGCCTGTTTGTTTGGCATTTCCATATGAAAACTAGCTGTGTGCATAGAAAACAGATCTTAAGTGTACCTACCTTGAAAGCTTCTCTAAACTTCACGCTCATAATACTGTATAAAATCGGATTTGTGGTGGCTGATATGTAATAGAGAACTCCACTAATGTAGGTGACCAATGCGTAGATTTGCAGGTAGAGCGAATGGGTTTTTTCATCGGGTTTGGGAAATGTGGCGTAGATCGTGTAGAGGCGCTGCACGTGGAATGGGGCCCAGCAAATGAAGAATGCCACCACAACAGCCACTGGAAACAGCCATTATCAATCCAAGTATCAATCGGGGAAAATTTCGATTTTATTAACTACTCATTGGTGCCGCCCAGTCCGGCTAATCGTGTAAATGAAGGAAATTTTTCCGCGATTTCTGAGCCCAATATAGACGTTTAATCTTGATCAAACCGCGCTTTATTTGCTGCTCAGTATTAAGTCCCGATGGGAGCATTTCATATCACTCAATTTGGCTCAATAAAAGTATCGTAAAAATGAGCCATAAAACTTATATAGAGTATATAGTTTTATGCAGTATTTTATAAGCTACTTGGGGTTCCTTTTAATTAAACCGACGGTTTCGCTCTCTAACTATTTTGCTTACTTGTAGCTCCAATAAAATCAACTTTAACTAGTTGGTCAGCAACTGTAACACGTTTGAACTTCTTAAACACAATTTTGTTAAGTCTCAGACTGCGCATCTTTGATGTTTTACAAAATCTCAATGTTAACACCCTGTATAGGTGTTGCTTAAGAAGATAATTTTGAGTTAAATTCCCGACAATTTTTGGCGCCAGCACTTAGTTTAGGCCATTTGCCTGCGAAGGGTCACATTTCAGCGTCCATCAAGAACCGAATTATCACCGGCTGTTTAAAATAATGGTCAGTTATTTAGCAGATTATCGCTAGGGACTGAGCTGTGACTGAGCCTTAACAGCTCAACATTTGCCCACAACAAATAAGCTCATTATTCACGAAAGTTCCGGGGCATTCCAGTGGGGAGAGACGGCGAAGAATTTGCAAATTTACGCGAAGGAATCAACCCAATAATCGCCAAAACTATAATAGTGAGCGCCGCACTGGATAAGGAGGACTAAAGTGGATAAAAAAGTTGATATTCCCTTAGTTCCTGAAGTCCCCAATCAGCTCACTATTGGCGGTTTTTTGAGCAAAGTTTGAGGAAATTTTTTTTTGATTAAGCCAATTTTCAYTTGGCAGGCTTTGGATGGTCCAGTTCAACGAATTTCGAAAATAAGTGCAAAAACTGTCCAAAATCGACGGCATTAATGTTGCTGAAAATTKATTTTTAATTTTTTTTCTGGCTGGAGTAACTACTTACTTCCCTARAGGTTTAAAGGAGCATTWATGGCCTACTYTAATACAGTTGRGTCCGGATATAACGAACTTGAAAAATGAACTAAAACTGGTTCGTTATATCCGGAGTTTGCTACAAGCGAATAATAATACAAAAACACGTGGTGTATTTTATTTCGTTATTTTTACATAGAGTAGTAGAAGTTAGTAGGTATGACTAAAAAGAACACAAAAAGATAGCATTTTCTTGCAAAACACTGCCACTTATGGGAACGTTTTCTTGTCTTTTTTGAGTAAACCACGCAATAAGTCCCTTGTCAACCTTTTCATGTGCAGATAGTTTTAACTTCCTACATCTAACATTTGTTTTGTCATACGCTGATAAAATGTTTTCTCTGTTTTTCCATATTGTTGCAATTTTAACTAAAACTCCCCCAATTAAAAAATTGCCCATGTTTTCATGGATTTTATGGAAATTTTCCAATAAATTGTGATTGCCATTAATCGAGTCTAGAGTACACTCGCTAACGGGCATAATGTGATAAAAACTAAGCTTTGTTCGAATTTGAACCAGCAAAATCCCGAGAATAAAAATTGCACATTTCCAAATTTCCCAGTAAAATTTGCCGATTTGTCAACCAAACCAGCACCCCATTCAGGGCGATAAGGGCAATGTTAATCAACATTGCTCTTATGGCGTCAGAAATTACAGACTTCGTGTTAAATGATTTATCACCCTTCTCCATATTCTAATGGGGTTTCTGCCACCACGTGTCTATCAATGTTCATTGGACTAATCAAACCTATTCAAATTCGACACCTGGTGTGAATAATCTCAGAATGTCGTTCGCTTTTGTTCTACGGAATCAACGAAACTCGAGAAACAGAATTAAAATATTAGCAAAAAAACTTCCGGGAAATTGCTAGAGTGGATCTTGTCCAATTATATGTCGGTGGCAATTACAATGTACGAAACGCGTCTAAATCGATCAAAACATCGGCAAATGATGTAGAAATTGTTGGCTTTCTGAGAAGCAATTGAGGGCAATTAAACCGTCACACAACGACTGATCTCAAACATATTGATTAGCAGATCCAGATAAAGCAATAGGCAGGAAATTTTGCTTATAAACTATTTTTTACTACATTATACATTTGAAAATCACTTCAACAACTTCACAACTTGTGTTTATGTGACTCTTTTGAGGGTTTTTGCGGCTGCATAAGTAAAGCTGCACCAGCCAGAAATTCGCATTAAATTCCAAACCAGTTCTTCAGCGCAAAAGTTGCCAATTTATAACAGAGTTTCAACTTCAAACTCATAGATTTACCCTGAACTAACCCTCATCAATAAAGTGATGGCCCAGCTTGGCATTGTTCTCAAATATGTTCTCCCTAACTTTTCCATTCAATTTGCAGAAAAGTCGCCATTCTTATGGAAAAATTATCAAAAGTGTCCATTTCAATATCGCAATAAATCTCTTTTCCAATTGTTGACGATTTATTTGGCAAAGTTCAGGGGTTTTTTTTGCAAATAAAGTGGCTGATTAATACAAGGACTGTCACTTTAACTATGTAAAGCCTCACACTGAATAAAAACTGTTTTTAGTTAGACGCTTCTGAGGCTGATTAACTGATTAATTAATACACGGACTAATGGAAAAATATTAGCAAAAGTAAACTTGGAAGCGATCAGAAAAGGAATGGGGTTGAGAATGTTACAGAAAAAGCGAATGTTCTCAGAGAAAAACTCACCAGTTTCTAATCAATTGCCCTTAAGCCCTATTTTGAGAAGTGATTTTACCATTTTATACCACCCCGGTGCCAATCCCCCGAAAAAATCCTGCTAAAACACATGTATTTACGATGATCTGCAGTGAAAATATCCGTATTGAAACATTCCCCGAACATATTAAATCCGGCAATAGGAAGTGAAAACCGTCATCCCAAACAAAACCCGGTTACGCTTCAGTCATACAAATTCGAATTTTTCAGCGCGACTTTATGCAAGCTGCTGCTTTTAAGCAATTTTAACGTCCTGTTTGTATCTGAAAAATAGGGGGCAAAATGCATTTTAACTTTGCCATTTCGTGAGCGAGGTTTGGACGCATATGAACTCGAATATTTCTACCCTGGAAGCAGAAAAAGCAAGTTTGAAGATTTCATTGAATAATCCAGCTAGATTCTGTCAGTAAATCCTAGAAGTCTCAATAGGTAATTAGTTCAACTTCTCAGAAAATCTCCCATACATCCCCTATTTCCCATGTATAATTGGCATCAATTTTATGGGTATTCATGGCGTTTAAATCCATCCAGCTGCGGATTCAGTTTATTACTCCTAAGGGAGCAACTGCGGAATATTAACGACGCCCATTTACTTTCCATAATTGAGAAGATATGGAGATTAATTTTAAAATTGCCCTTGAACTAATTGTTTCAAGCCGAGCCTAAAATCAAGCTGCATCATTAGCAGGCGACTTCAAATACAAATTTTCACTACTGTTTGTCCTTTTGACGATTTTTGAACTCAATCAATTCGGAAAGTTTTAAATAACTAAGCTGGAAAATTTACAGCAGCAAGAAAAGCTCCAAGTTGTCCGCAAAATTGCTTTTACTGCTCAAGACTTACACGAGTTCTAATGTAAGAGGCGATTTGTAGTCTTCGAAGCCAAGACAGTATTTTGTTCGGTTTAAGTGTATATATTAAGGATGCATCGAGACTGAATTAATCAGTTATGTAAGGAGTTTTTTATGGGGGAAAATTTCAGTTGCAAATTCGGGAAATTTGCAGATTGTTGACAGCATTTTTTCGAAATCGCGGGACATTGGAAAAACTCTGCAAATCAACCTAATTTTCTTACGAATACACTGAAAATGCACATAATAACTGTTGCTTTAACTAAACAATTTCCTAATTGTCTAATTTCGATGGTCAATTAGGCGCAAGGCTTTCAGTCTTTTGCTGCATTTCGTGTTCAGGAAAATCAATTTCTCATGAATGGGCAAAGGTGCAAACTTGCCATACTTAATTATCCAAGTTTTTCAATAATGAAGCAATTACCGCGGTAATTGGCAGTTTTTATTTTGTTGGTTGTTTTGTCGACATTGACTGAATTCATTTTGATTAGATTTACTGTTTTTCCCGGTTTGTGCTTGTTTACGTTCAGGTACGTTTAATTTATTCGAAAAAACATGTGCTTTACCAACGCAAATAGGGCGTTTTGCTTAAAAATTGTAACGGATTAATCAAGAAGATCGCCTGTTTAACCATGGTCAATTACTTTAAGTGCGGCAATTCAGGGATCAATAAACAGTAATTTGTAAAATTGCATCCGAGCTTCATCGGCAGGTTTTTTTGAAAAATCCGATACAAATGCGCAATTTATCTGGACTGTATCTCGATATGAAGCTTGGATTTGGCAAAATTCATGTCTGAATTTACATTGAAATGCAATAAAGGAAGTCCATGGATGTCCACGTTTCCATGATTTATGGATACTTATATACTATGGAAATGTGAAGGACTTCGTTCAAGAAGAAGTCTTCGAAAAAGATCAATCCTCAAAATCGTCGACCTAAAATTAAATAAATGATAAAAGAAACACTATATTTTGGAAACAAATAAACTGTGAAAATGTGGGTAGAAGATTGCCAGGCAATAAATCCAGAGGATCCAGTCCTATCAGCTCTTGAATTCAGGTAACTTATTTTCTTATGCAAATTTCCAGCAGGCTGAGGACGGTTTAAATGAAAGCTTCAATTAACGTTATCATTCGGAAAGTGGAAACTCAAGAATTAGTCTGTCAACTTTCCTGTTGACTGCCAAACAATCTAACAAATCCTGTATTTTGTTGGATTGTTTGGCAGTGAATAATTATAGAGATGGAAGTCTTTTATTCTGTGTTGAACGCAAAATTGCTTAGATTCAATTAATTTGCTTGGT